AGCTAACTAGTTGTTTTAGGCATGTTTGAAAACAAAAAAAGAGATGCATACAACTGCTCATGTCTATGCAGGGAATAAAAAGAGAAAGAAGGTGGATGAGATAATATCTTATATTGGACCAACTTCTATTGATGAAAGAGACAAGTTCTGAGCTACAGAGCTCTTCGTCCGGTCTGCTCTGTATATCTTGAAAGCTTGTCTCTCTCTCCAACAGAAGATGGTCAATAAAAGCTATTACCTCACTCATCTTGTCTCTCTAATATCCTAGGACCAACAGGGCCACAATACCGCTGTAAATGAAGGGAGGGGAAAATACGATTATTTCACTAGCACTCAACCTGCATAAATCTTGCAATGCAATATTCTGTTGCTGACATTTTGTCCTCGGAAGCAGAGGTGGGGTAAGAGTCTGACTTTTGCCTCTAGATAGCATAGAACTCATAGCCCAGGCGGCAATGGCCTAAAGTGGCTTTAATCCACCTTTACATCCTCCCAATCCTAGATTGCTCTGAGGGCTTAAGCCGGGGTGGGCAAACCGGATTTGGCCTGCGGGATTGCCACCCCTGTGGTGCCGCGGGCCCCGCACCACTCCCGGAAGCGGCTGGCACCACGTCCCTGAGGCCCCTGGGGCAGGGAGGCAGAGGGCTCCGCACACTGCCCTCACCTGCAGGCACTGCCCCTCACAGCTCCCATTGGCCGGGAACAGGGAACCTTGGCCAATGAGAGCTTTGGAGGACGTACCCACAGGCAAGGGCAGTGCGCGGAGCCCTCTGTCCCTCCCACCCCCAGGGGCTGCAGGGACGAGCCTGCCTTCGCCCCGCTGTGTGCTGCTGCCACCCTGGAGCTGCTCCATGTAAGCGGCGCTGGGCCGGAGCCCGCACCCCAAATCCCTCCTGCACCCCGCACCCCAACTCCCTGCCCTGAGCCCCCTGCCGCACCCTGCACCTAACCCCCTGCCCTGAGGCCCTGCCACACCACGCACCTCTCCTGCACCGCAATCCCCTGCCCTGAGCCCCTGCCACACCCCTCCTGCATGCCAACCCCCTGCCGCAATTCTTCTGCACCCCTACCTCCTGCCCTGAGCTCCCTGCCGTACCCCGCACCCCTCCTGCACACCAACCCCTTGCCCTGAGCCCCCTGCCACACCCTGCACCGCTCCTGTACCCCAACCCCCTGCCCTGAGCCCCCCCCCGCACTCTTCCCTGCACCCCTGCCCTGAACCCCCTCCTGCACTCCAACCCCCTTGCCCTGAGCCCATTCCTGCACACTGCACTCCCTCCTGCACCCCAACTCCCTGCCCCAGGCCTACACTCATGGCCCTGCATGCAATTTCCCCACCCAGATGTGGCCCTTGGGCCAAAATGTTTGCCCACCCCTGGCTTAAGCAGCACCTGGAAGACAGCCTAAATTACGGCAGTCTCCCTAGTTGCCTATAAGCCACAGTACTGCCTGTAGATATACCCACAGAGGCTCCTCTGAAGGCAGTTTTATGACGCTCCTCCACATTTTCTGACCAAGGGAAACCTATTCTAGATGAATACAGGGCTTTTAGAGACCCTTTACACCAACTCAGCCCTTTTAAATAGCAGAATAAAACTGGAATGGGGAAGAGGATCTCACCTCTGGAGTTAGAAAACAAACACAGGCCCTTGTACATGATATGTATTACAAGGCACAATATAACACAACATAAACAGGATAGGATGTTGCCAATGGGATGATGTAGTCTAGGGTTACCATATTTCAGCAAGCAAAAAAGAGGACGGGAGGAGCCCCGCCCTAGCCCCGCCCCTGCCCCTCCCACTTCCCGCCCCCCAGAACTCCCAACCCTCCCCCCGTTCCTTGTCCCCTGACTGCCCCCTCCTGGGAC